AGATTTTGGATGGTAGTCAAAGTCTTGAATGCTAGTTGTTTTTATCTGCTAGGACTATTGTAGTGATAGAAGCAGACTAGATTTTTTTATTCTAATATGAAGGTGCTTTGGTCCACAGAACTTCGTGGAATGAGATGAGTAATTTCGCATCGTTTTCCATCATTGCGCATCTGCAGTATAAAGTGAAAGAGGCAAGAAGAATAGAATATTTCTTACAATTCCATTTTGTGTAGCTGTCCCTAAAGTGCACCACGTTCAGCTGTGAGAATTGCGCAAGGAGAATAATTCCTTGCAGTTACTCAGGCTGAATCTATAGTGAAGTTCTACAAACTTTAATAAACGTGTCAACTTACTTCAACGTAAGAACTACGTTTTTCAAGACTCGTTTTTTTCTCGTGCAATCAGAAGCTGAACATTCACTGGTGATGGAGTGCAGTTGTATGTCGCATAACGGATCGTACACGTTAATAGCAACTGTGCCATAGACATCATAGCTGGCCCCCCCACGATTGGTTAAAACATTCAATCTTTTGGCTTTTTTAAGCCAATAAAGTCGAGCAATATCCCATCCATCGGAATCGACATAATTGATTGTTTCACGTATCAATTTATGAATATCAGTGTTTAAATGGAACAGAGCTTGGTAAGCATCACCATGACATTTATAAACATAATACAATAAGAAGAGAGCAGAGTCAACAGCACAGGTATTACTAACAGAATATTGTTCTCCTTCGAATTCACACTTTTCTATATTCCATTTGGGAAATGTAAGTGATAGTAATTTATTAGGATATCGAGCACATTGACGAATTGGACGTTCAGGCGATTTCATATCAAAATTTAATTTCCGTCGAGCTCGTTTAGGTGCTACAAGGGTGGCTAACGTTTTTGGACTCAATTTCACTGTTGGTAACACGAAATTCGACGCAATTTGATTTTCGATACTAGTTAGGATGTTAGTGTGTGTTTGTAGAGAGTCCGACGACAATTGTTGTAATTGATTAGGAGATGTAGCTGAGAAATATACTGCAGAAGAGGGAATTGGACTGTATTGTGGAGAATAATTGCCTTGTGCAAGTGGTGAAACTGAATCTTCGTAAGACGTTTGATCATTTGTATCAATTAGCAGTGGA